TGGAAACACATTAAAACGATGGCAGCAATTTGTATCATGTCTGAAAAGCCCTTAGACCGTCTAATAATCTGGCTTCCAACATGCTCAATTTTTCAGATTAACAATTCAATAGGATATTCTTATATCTTTCCAAATCTGTATGAAAAAGCTACTTTGATGATGTAACGTATATGTTCTTTGTAAATCTATTAGATCTTCTCATGATTTAGAGGTGTTATCATACCTTTTCTTTTTATCTTCCGAAGTCTACGAAGGAAATTGAAATATCCTTTAATGATTGTTGTCAGAAATTTTACAAGGTGTCTGTTTTGCTAAATCTTCTGAAATATCTCATAATCGGGTGTCTAGGTTTTCAGCTTTGTTTATTGAACCTCAAAAGCATCTGCTCTCACTTGTAATAAATGTGCTTGATGTTGTGTTCACTAATACTTGAACATTCAGACAAAATTTGCAGAGCCTTCTTGTATATCATGCATTTGTGTCAAAAATAATTCTTCTCATGCTATTTGTATTGATTTCCATAGATAAGTTCAGTTCTTTGAATTCATAAATTTATACTGATAAAAGGCTTGAACATTTCGCTATACTAGGAATAAAATATAAGTAGTAGAAAATACTACAGTATTCGAGTTGGTAATTGTATTTAATATAATGTATATAAACCTATAATAATTAAACTAAAGTAGATAAAAATATTAATTAAATAATGAAAAATAATACATATTAATTATACTTGAGCAATTAAAGCGATTACATAATTTATTATTATAATATTATACACACAAATTGATAAGAGAATAAATTTATAGAAGATAAAATTTTAAAGATAAGTTCTTTCAGATAATTAATTAGTAGGCCTTTGTGTTCCGCAGTGTGGAATATTAAGATCTTGGCCCTACTGTACATTATCAAAATGTTCATCTTCAGCTGATGTAGAATGCTTTCAAATATTCTTGTCCCTTTTATACTTGCCTTTTTCCCAGTCACATACATTTCAAAGGTATTGTAATTTGATTTTTTTTTGCTAATATTGATTGCTTCACTATGAATATTCATGTCATATAAAGTATTTATTTTTCAATTTGAAGATGTCAAAGATGCATATTGCTGCTAAACTTGTTAAAGTACATGTCAATTTATTTCTTTGGTGGATTTTATCTTTATGTTGTAAAACATGATCCTAGCTTGAAAGGGCAAATTTTACACTAATTAGTAAATTTTTCGAATTGTAATCTACTGTAATGAATTTGAACTGTTATTGCATGTCACTTGCTTTGACTAATAATAAACATTTAAACAATAAAATAAAATATAATATGTAAATTAAAAATAACACTATGGGCCTATATACTGTAGTTTTCATTTTTAATGCATTATACAAATTATTACAATCTCAGTCTCATGTCTGACACCCCCCTCCCCATCCCATATGAGATCATTGGTAAGAGTTGATTAACGACATGGATAAATTATATCCTCTTGTTTTTCCAATATTTTGACACTGATCGGAATACAGATTAACCAACAAATTATTAATTATATATTCTTGAGAATGTATTACTGTATGAATCATGAAAATGCCAAAGAATTAGCCTATGCAACTAGAGAGTGTGCTGTATCAATATGAGCGTGATAATATGACTGGTAATGTGGCAGTTGTACTTTTTTAAAGTATGATGTTGATAATTCAAAGTTTGAGACAACTTTCCATGTCTGTTTTATTTTTTTAACTTGATATGACAAATGTAAAAAAATTATTAAGCATTTCATCAGAAATGATGTTTTTGATTGAGGTTCACAAGTGTTAAAATGTCTGAAATACTTCCCAACTATTTTATTTGCTGTGCCTCATGAGAACTAGATCTGTTAATAAATCAGGAGACATTATAAGAAACATGCTTGTTGGTATTGTTTATGAGACCCTGGGGACTTATTCACCCAGCCTCCCAGTAAAACTTGAATTCCTGCTTGATACTCAGTAGATACAGTTTCCCCAATACATGTTGCTGTATTAGTTGGAGGCCAGGCTAGGAGAAGATGGTGAGAAATTCTTATGACAGTTCCCTATTGAGTGCTATTATTTATTACAACGAGGGGGGAGTTGGGTCCCTTAAGATTTTAAAACTTGTGGGAACAAGAAACAACCTTTGTGGATTTAGTTTTATTAACTGCTTACCGGCTAAATATGTTTAATTTCTTGGGAATTATATATAAATTTAGGTACATTGAATTGTCAAAAAATAAAATGCATTCTTTTATGTCTGACACTGATAATTCAACAAATTGATACTCAAGGCTATCCATTTGAACTAAAATACTCCAAATTTTTCTTAGACAAATTCATTATTTTTATTATTTGAAATGTTGAAATGCAACCTCATGGCATCTGTTTAGTGTTGTATTGTTATGTAGTAGTAGAAACAAAAGAAATAAAATTGATGCTAAATTTCTCCTTATTATTCAAGAAAATATAATGACTATAATGCTAAATGATTAGAAAAGGATTAGTATAGCAGTAATTAGCTGACACTTAAAACATTAAAGTTCTATTCTCACATTCATGTCAAAATCATGTTTAGTAGACTTTCAGTGAATCTACATTCTTCCTAATAGACAATCATAGGATGATTAGCTAAAGATGTTTACTTTACCACTAGAATTATTGTAGGCAAGTAAATTCAAAGTGCCAAATAACTTATCGGTACGTCTCTTACGAAAGTTGACTTGGAGTCAACTTTCGTAAGAGACGTAAGACAAGGCAACGCAAGCGTGATCACTCAAGCATAAGTCACTGAATCGCGGTTTCCTGTCAAATCGTGGAAAATCGACGTATCGCATGAAAATTCAATACGACGGTTTCCGGTCCAACATTGCTTTGCGACGATTTAACCTTACGTTACGTCGATTTCACAACGCACCAGTCGCAATCGGTTTCCTGTCAAATCGCATTTTGTTACGATAAAACGACGTAGTCGTAAGTAAATCTGCCTTCTTACGTCGACAGGAAACCAGGCTTTAAGCTCACTGCGTCATACGACTCCAACTCCTCTCTCTTTGAGCGCTAGACGATGCGACGCTGTCTGCTAATTGTCGGTGGCATTCTGAACGGATCGTCATTAAAAAAATTTGGTTGCGTTGTTGCATTCTACATAGAATCGCGTCACAGTGAGTTCTGGCTTAAGGGACCATTAGTAAACCCCATTAGTATGTCAATGCTAATGATCAGCATTGCTGGATGGGTCACCCTCTTGAAATATGGTATCAAATAAAATAAATGCAAAGACCATCAGTAAACCTCGTAAGAATGCTGATGTATGGAAGTGTCAGTAAAACTCATGAGATTGCTAGTGTAAGGGATCATCAGTAAACCCCAATTTTAATGTCAGTGCAAAGGTCATCAGTAAACCTCATGAGAATTCAACTGTAAGGGACCATCAGTAAGTCTCATGAGAATTAATGCAAGTATAGGGGACCATAAGTTACCTCATAAGAATGCCAGTATAAGGAATTGTCAGTTAGCCTCACAAGATTGCTAAAAGGGGTCATTAGTTAACATCATGAAATTGCCAATATAATAAGAGGTCTTTAGTACTTAAAACTTGGTCTTTGATTCATAAAAAGCATGCTCTGTTGGTTTTGCTTGGGTTGTACTTGAGGGAAATATTGATCACAGTGGACGGTAGTTAGCGCTTTGTAACCGCAAGGAATAAGCGCTATAGTAGTAACGAGTAACAAGTTAAAAAGCTCATTAAAATGAGAGTGTATTGAAATTGTTCTAAAATTGTACATTTTTCTTTTGAAATTATAAGATTGTAGTATCTCATTTTAATGGTATAAATTGTGTGCATTCTATCCAAGACAACTATATAAATAGTTGTCTCAGATTCTAGCAATGTCATGGATACTTGCAAATGTTGTACATTTATCTCAGTTTCATTCTCTTCATTCTTGCAATTTAATGTTCACATTTTTGTGAAAGTTGTTTTTGACAGTTTTATGCATTTATATAATCATCTGTATTCTGATGCATTCTTACTGTCTCCAGCATTACTTTCAATGTTTCATCTCAGATTAATATTCTTTTTGAATTCTGCTTTCTCTCTCAATTGAGATTAACTAAGATTGTATACCAGCTAGAAAAGTTAATCCCTATATATTGAACTTTTACTGTCACGATCGATCTCCTCGGCAACTCTAATAGCTTGCATTTAACCAAGTAATGCTATCACAGAAAAAACACTTTCTGTTAATGTGAATGGTTAAGACTGTAATTATGGAATTTTACAACATTCTCTTTCTTTGATGCCACATGACTCCTGTATGGGATTTTCTCTTGCATACTTAAATCCTGTCTAATTCCCTTGGCGACCCTTTCCAACAATGCGCAGGCAGTGATTGAAAACCCCTCTCATCTTTTACTGGATGAAATATAAATTTTCTGTTTGTGATGGGACATTGGGGACTAAGCAAAATGAAAGCTGTTGTTTTCATTGGAAATTATTTAAGGAATCTTGATCTTGGTTATTTTTGTTGACTAAATAATACAGGATAATTGATTGGTCAGTATCACAGGTCACCATATGGCTACCATTAGTTGACCAATCATCTTCCTTATTTAAAGTGATGAAAACTTTAGTCATTATTAAACTTACAGTTGAAAATTATTTATGTTTTTTGACCAGTGAGATAAGAGTAAAAACAAGGTACAGGATAATTCAAAGAAATGATCCATAAGTGTTTCTATAGTACCTGAAATAACTTGTAAAATATATCAGATAATTATCTTAGGCCTTAATTGTATAAATTGCAGTTAATTCTCTAGCTACATAGACACAGGAGATAAAAAACCTATCAAAGAGCTGCCAGTCATGAACTTTGTTAGGAATTAAAATCAATGAAGTGACCAATGAAATCCAATTTAATCTAAGCAATGACCAATCAGATAGAAGCAAGTTTGAGAGTTGACCAAGCTACTGTGTTCCTGGTGACTTACTGCTTTTGTTGTTAACCCAGTGACCATAGACATCTTACTCATGAGAGAGGGAGAGGACAGTGTCCATTGTTTAACAGTGAAGAGGGCAATTTTACTAGGTTAAGTAGTCTGTAACTCTTTATCAGGGTGTATTTTTACAGATGACAAAAGGAATTCTGCTAAACAATAATATTGATAAGTTTGAAGAACCCTTTGTTTAGACTCACTGTTAATTTATTATGTTTTCTCAAACTTCTTTGTTTGGATTTTTTCAATAAGATAGAGAATCTGATTTTCTTTGACACTGTCTAGTCATAGGAATGTTCTTGATTTGCTTTTAATTTAATAGAAGGCAAATTTCAACTACATACATTTGTAAACATAGTGTGTTTCATTCCTGCATTTATTGCTAGATTCTCTACTCTAGAAAATATTTCAAGTAGAATATATATAAAAGTATTCACAAAATTAAATGCTTTCCAGAGAAAAAGCATTTTAAAAATTATTATGGTTATACATAGCTTTTATGCTTAATAAACATTGATAATAAATTGGTCGGTCTATATATACATATAATGTATATATATATGTACATATCTTGAAGCCATGACAACTGGTTTGTTATTCATGCCATATAGGGTCTAAATTTTTAATGTAAAAATAAAACAATTCATTAAGGAATATGAATTATGAAAATAATTGTTGTAAGTAATTTATCTGACAGTTTAATGACATTGCTCAAATTTTAGAATATCCTGTAATTCCTTCTCCATTTTATGGACAGCCTTGCATAGATGTTACTTTGTGTTTGCCGACAATGCCCATTAAATGGTTGTTAAAATTAATTATGCTTTGTAAACCCTAGAGTACCTGAATGACAAGGAATGCCATTTTAATGTCATAATTTTATCATATTATGACATTAAAAATCCCATTTTGACGTTTTTTTGTTTTGTTTTGCTTTTTTTTTGCTGTAGATGTCTCGTTATCACTTTGTGAGTGGACTGAAAAAATAGGTCAAATGTGAAAGGGTCAGAGATAGAAAATATCATAAAGCTAGTTTATGATCTATTATTTTTTTATTAGGCTAGTTGATGTTTCATTTAAAATGGAACTTAACTATCTTTTCATATCGTCAGATGGTATTCAGTTTTTGATGTTTTACATCATGGGTATGATCCCTTACATTTCCTTCCATGAATTAATAATAATCTGGCTAAGTCTATTTCATACTTATTTACATGTTAAAAAGCTAGAAAGATTTATCCTTGGTTATATCTGATTCACACAACATTTTACATGTGACCAGGTTAACTATTCCCAAGTTACTCCTACCAAAATCACCATTGTCTTCACAAGAGCAAACTCAACTAAAAAAAAAAAACGCTGATATGCAGACAGCGATTATACACGCAACAGAATAAAAGATGCGTCCCATGAGCATGCATATAGATATTTTTTTCAAAATCTTTATTTATTTATGATATAAATTGTAACATAAAAGCTTGTTCACTAAAGGTGTTCTTCCACGAGTTCGTGAGGAAATATACAAAGATAAATCAATGTTAAATAACTGAGAGTGTTGCAGGCCTCAGCAATGTCTTTTTCTCTTTACATGGATATTTATTGCATGCTAATCTTAGAAAGATGCATCATTTGGGTGCAATGTAGCGGGGGTAGGGCTTGTAAACATTTTCCTGACATGCATCCCAAGTAACATTATGTCACATGTGAATCAGGTATAGGTTGTAGCATTGAGGTATAGTTGTAGGTATACACATCATACTGTAGTCATTTTACACAGTCAAGAGATAGAAGTTACTGCATCAATTACTGGGTTAGTTAGCATCGTTAAATGTAATAGGAGCTGGTAATTAAATGTTCAGTTGTCAATTTTCAACTTATTTGCCTGAGGTAGTTTGTAAGTAATATGTGGTCAATGTAGAGATATTTGTCTTGATCATTTCCTAATTATGATTAGGCATATAAAGTCTTGTTGATGATGACATGATGATGATGATGATGATGATGATGATGATGATGATGATGATGCTGATGGTGACAATAGTAGTGGTGTCATCATCGACTGCAAAGAAAAGGAGACGAATATGAATTGATAATGATTTTATATAATGATGATATATTGATATGAGAGTGATTATTGTTGTTAATATTGAAATTTAAAACCTTAACACTAACACTAATGCCTGTATTTTAATTTCGTGAAAATATAGTTAATAATAATAGCGAATTTTATATCACAAACATCTCCACCAAAATAGGTACTCAAGGCACAGTGTCTAAAAAATACAACAACTGAAGAGAACAAGAATCACAAACATCACAAGAAAAATGTGAAACAAGAATCATCATTTTATACCATATTTATCAAACTGATAATAATAATGGGCTGCAGCTGATTAATATGATAAAAATAATTATTTTTAGTTTCTAATAGAAAAATAATGAGTGTTGTCATACATTCAACATGAAACATCTATAGGAATGCTGACAATGTGATAAAAATTCAATTGATAATGATGATGTCGAAATTTCACAGCCCCATGCTTTGTATATAACTCCAAAATTTTCAATGCAGTGATAACGACAGTAAAAATATTCATTACATTTTTATGGCATGATAAAACTAATAAATGCTGAAAGGATACCATCATATTTCCATATAATGAAAATCACTGCCTCATTTATATGATATCCATGAATGTGGCCATCTGGCAAGCATAAGAAATTCCTATGATAATCTGAAGTCATTTCTCATAGATTTAATGAGTAGGCAAATTTGTCCCCAGTAATACAAATAAAGCCATTTATTTCAACATTAGATTTTGTATTTGATAGAAGATTCATAATTTATATGTTAAACTAATAGGTATAAGTAATGACATGTCAGCAATACATCACAGTTTTAACATCATCAGAAACTGCATGTCTTTGGTTCGAAACATAATATGCCCATTATTTTATTTTCTTTTTCAGCGAAACTTGATAATTACATCAGAATCAGAATAATTTTATTATTACCAATTGAAGAAATTGAATGCTCGATAACATTTAAAACCTTGCATATAAAAATGCATTCAAATATAAAAAATAAAAAACAAAAATCAAATATAGTAATAACATTTTAGTAATGGTATATTAAATAGAATTAATTGTCATATTTAATAATAATAATAACTTTATTTATCCACGGATACTCATTTTAATCTTTTTACAAAGGTTGGTCTTCCAAGAGGCCTTGTTCTTAAACTACTGATATGATAAAAGAAAGGGAAAACAAACATGGAAAAGTAAAAACCTACCAACTGTAAAAATTAGGAACTAAAAACTACTTTTAAACAATTTCAAATTTGAAATAATAAAATCTGCAGTTTCAAAAACTGGTCAGGTTTGACACAATATTTTTAAAACTCTTTAAATCTTTAGCATTTTTTGTTTTTTCTGATAATGAATTCCATAATTTTGATCCATGATAGGTGAAATTTTTCTTTTTGTATTCAGTTCGAGGTTTGCATAGATAAAGTTTGTCTTTAGATCTGGTATTATGTGGGTTTTCTTTAGAACTGAATGTGTTAATAAGATATTGTGGGCTTATAGTATTCATAATCTTGTACAATGTAATAGTTTCGTTGTGAAACTGGTTTGTATCAAGCCTGTTCCAGTTTAATTTTTTGAGAGCTGCAGAGCTTGAATCATAACTGGACATCTTTGTAATAATTTTGGCAGCTCTATTTTGTAAAACCTGTAGCTTTTTACTTAAGTACTATTACACCTTCCCCAGACAACATTACAATACTGGGGCAGTAATAGTTTTGAAAAGTGTGCATTGAATGGATTTTGGAACAATTTCACTAGATTTCTTAAGATAAAAAAGGCCTGGTAATGAGTTTGTTTTTCTTTCTTTTCAGTCAGTTTAGAACATTTTTGTATCATTTCCAGCTTTCTGGCCCAATGATTGCAGTGCTAAGAAGCTCGATTCTGGTCTGTTTTGAATATGTTTTCTATAAGCTCACTACCTTTATTTAGGCCTCATAGCTGGTTTATACAACGTCTCTTAGTTCGATAAATTAATTTGCAATGCTTCATGTTAAATGTGGCTTTACATTAAGTCATGAATATTGGGGTGGAATTACATCATGAAACCTACTTCATCAATATCATAGGATATTGGTAATCCATAATACTACCAATCCTATATAATCTGTTAGCTGGACGTTCCATCCTTCATACTAGCTCTGTTGGATTACCCTAAAGGCATGATAAAAAAAAGTTAAGAAAAAACCTTTTTTTATATAATTTGTTTAACAACGCTTTTTTTTTTAAAAGAAAATTTGCTAGGTGTGGGTATAGGCCAGGAAAAAATATAATTTTGTTTCCGTCATTAGGAAGTTGGTTTGAGAATGTGCGAAGGGTGAAAGAATATAAACAAAAATGTAGGTGTGTTATGGTTAAAATGATAGTCACTCAAAGGAGATCCATTTGTATGGGTAAAAAATTTAGTAATCAGATGGATGAATGCTTTATCAGGCATATTTTTTTTGTCTCGCCTAATTTATGTCAAGCATAGCGTATATGTGGCCATCTGGCATAAAACATATTCTTTACCAACCTTGATCTAAAATTGCTCCTCATACAGGATTTAATTAGTACCTGGACACTGCTCATATATTAACTTCCCATGAATTTTATTGTGAAATTTTATAGAAAATGCTTTGCTGGTGTTTGAATTATTTTTAAACCAGTTTGCTATTATTCCCAAATGATCTGTTTTAACCTGTTCCATCCTTCAGCCATTCTTTTTTAAATCATCCTAAAGGCATAAACCTTCAGATGTCTATCTTGCTTATACTTGTGATTTTTAGTATGACATTCTTTCATTAGTATTTTAGTATTGTAAATTTTGCACTGTGGTTTATCACTCCATTTATCATCATCTGATCATTCAGTAGCCAAGGCCCAAATTGTGTGTAATATTTACACTTTTGTAAAAAAAAATTCAAAAAACATTAAAATCCATATAAACCCATTTAAATTTCATTAAAAACACAAAATATAATAGGATAAATCAAGAGGAAAGGGGAACCATCTTGGTTTATCAAGTTTTTCTGCATCATAATTGTATGTAGAAGCAGATTTAATATAAGTATAGCACACAGCATTGTAGGCCTATATGTTACTAATATTCGAGAGAGATTGGAATCAGTAAGTTGTATTGTGTAGTATTCTTAATGTATATGAAATTGGTAGCAGATTCTGGGTGACTGAACTATTGTGATAAAATCTATCAGCGTTATAGATAATGGCTTATTTAATTGATTACAAGGTAAGCCGTCTTTGTGGTTTACTTCACTTATTTTTATCCAGACTAAAGGGATAGCATTTATGTCTTTCTCTTGCTGAGATCCAATAAATTTTGTATGTATTTAAGCCTTTGGGTTTGAGCCGATACAGTAATAGTACACATGGTGGTTCATGAGTTAATGGTGGGAGTGTTTTGGGTTAATATGCAAAGTAATCGTAATAAAAGTACGGACTATTATTGAAGAAGGCTCTTCAAGCAGATTGATAAGCAATGCGGATATACATAAAATGGTAATGTTGCACTAATTAATGTATTCTGCATTTTAAGTGCAGAAGTTGTCACTGCTGACAAAATCGACTATTCATCATTGTAATAATGCAATCACTAGCAAATGCAAAGTACCTACACTCAATGTTTTATTGTTGTTACCAAATCAAAAAAACAATGTTATGTTGTGTTCAGTATCCACATTTTTTATCTACTGATGTTATATCATGGGCATATTTTATACCTCTGCGATTATGTGTAGTAGGTCTAACTAGGTTTTTGAAAATGAAGAATCATGAAAAATTGTGTTTTGGTGTGCAGACTTGTCTTATGACCCATTTTTATACCCATCCCCTTGCCTAAAAACTAAAAAGTTATTGGCAACATCAGCTGCACATTAGTTTTTAGACTTTGAAGGACCTTCAAGATATTTCAAGTTGTCCTCCAAGGGCATACCCATTTTGTTTGTAGGGAGTTGTATTGTGCTATGGCATTTACACATTAGTTAACTGTAGTAAAACCAAGTTAATCAAGTGTAATTCTCCTACATTGTGTTAGCTTAATTGTTTTGTTGAAGGTGAGAAACATTCTTAAGTCAATTATTGTAGATAACAATTTTCACCTTGAATCAAAAGCTATATAGAGGAGGTACCCTTTATTGAGCTACCATAGATCATTAGTGCATAAAGGAGCTACATGTGAGAAACAATTTAATAATCAATCATTCTAGAAACTTTCGCCCTGTGTAGAACTATAGAGGGAAGCATACTCATTCTTTTTCATTTACAAATAGTGTTCTAGATTTCTTGCTCTTTATTCAATACATGTACAATGGAGTCTCTATGGTGCAATACTTATTCATGAATGTTGGTATTTAAATACTAATATCAATTTATCTATTAAATTAAATACCTATTCTGAACTTGAGTCTCATTTACTTACTTGTAGCTAGCATTAAACTCAAAGTTAATTAATTTTTGGAAAATATTCAAATTGTTGATTCATTTTATAAGAGTTACATACTTGGATACTGCTTTAATGAAAGTTACATATTTATTTGCAAATCTTATATACTATTGTATACATACTTGAATTATATGTTAAATTTTGTGGGTTTTTGTCATTATTGTATAATATCTCATACTAATGTGTATATTTTCATCTTTATTGATGCTATTTTATATTGATGGTAAATATAATTTAGACTAATTGACAATACATGTCAGCTGTATAATGCGATATTCATTAATATATTTTCTTATGCATTAATGAAAACTTTTAATTATAATTTCTTAAATAAATATTAATTATTTCTTATTGCAGTCTGTCCTATTGGTACTTACAAATTTGAGGTCGGAAATGGACAGTGTTCGCCGTGCCCAGCTAAGAGCCACGCAGACCATAACAGAACCCTGTCTTGTACTTGCATCGCTGGGTACTTTAGAACTGAGACAGACAGACCATCAAAAGCCTGCACAGGTATGATTTGAAGGTTAAAATATGCAAACAAGATTTTTCATTATTTATTTTCTGTCTTTCCTCTAAAGTTTCAAACCATGTTTATATTATTACTTGTGTTTGAACAATAAATAAATCTTGAATCGTTGACTGGGGCCTCATAATTGTCCTTGATTTTACAATTCTTTTTTGTTATTTTGATCTTATTATTTGAAGTTCTACACATTTGATCGCTATTTTCACTTTATTATTTTGAAAATATATTGTTGATTTGTTTTAATATAATAAATATAATTTATTTGATAGAAAGACGTTATTTTTATGTTTAAGAAATCATCAATTATTTTAATATTGGCATAATATTTAAGATAGAATTATTGTACAATCCGTTGATTTGAAATTTCAAATTCAGTTTTAATTCTCATACAAAGCATGTTAGGCAATCAGATAGCCCAAGATCACCAATGATCATAACATTATACTGGCTTCCTGACAGGCGGGTTTGGGATTTCAGTCATTTTTCAAGTTGATGAGAAAGTATATCTATAGTGTTACAATATGACTGTATTATATTGCTATATAGGATTTTTGTTTCAGTTGTAATAATTGCTGTTTACGTTCTGCCTCAAATTTATGTAAGTTACAGTTACATCTATTTTAAAAAATGTATTTATGAAAATTTGGTATACAGCCTGTGGAAGCCTGATAGCTACATAGTCGTCATGACCCGTGGTTAATAATTAGCCTCCCCCTTAACTATACTTAATGTAAAGCCTGTTGCAAATTTATTTGCGCAAGTCGAAAGCATTGGTTTGTGCGCATTCACATTTCTATAGGAGTTTTCGCTTCAGCGAAATCGGTAGTTCAAACCATTTCTTCTTCTTGCGTAGCAAAAAAAGTGCGCAACCAATCAGAGCTCAGGAACCGAACAGACGCCTTCGATTCGCTCGAATAAATTCGCCTAGGGGAAAACAAGCTTTAAGACATACATCAGAATATAAAAGTAAAATAAAATACAAACAAGACAGCATAGGGTTTAACTTTTAAATTATTCAATTAAATTTGTATAAATGTTAATTTTCTCTACTGTACATGCAAGTAAAATAATATAAAATAATGGAAATTAAATAATTAATTTATTAAATCTATGATGAAATTAAATTTGGTCGTATGTAGTTCATAATTGTATTACATGTATGTTATTATGTTTACTTTTTTTAAATGGGAATAACACACCTTTATTCAGCATAAATATTCATGATAGAAAATAACCTTCAAGATGATACGATAAGTACAACTTATTATAGCAAATGATGGTTGAACCTGGGCACACTCTACAGTTTAAGAAACAAACCTCATTCTATTCTATAATTCCCTTCAACAGTAATTTCTTATTTAATTTATGTGTCTAGTGCAAATTATAGGAGTCATCAAACATCCACTCTTTACTCTTACTTTAAAAGAGTCACTGACTTGTCAGTCTTATATGAGCCAAGGGTTCTAAAAATATTACACTTGATATTTTTGCCAGTGGTCTAATGGATTCACTAATTATTTAAAATCGGCCTGAGGCACATTTTCCTTGAGGTTTGATCATATTTGTGCTGTAAATTACATGTAGCTAATGTATAGTATCTAGACACGGTTCATAATGAAGCCTATAATGCGCCATCAAAAAAATATTCAGCATGTTTTTTTTTACGCATAACGTTTTCTGGAGAAATCAACACTGAGAATTCTGGGATTGAGAACTTAGATAAATAATTGACTTTGAAGTGAGCTCGTTTATTCGATGACCTTGTATGCACGTTATTCGTCTGCACGACGACCTTGCAGCAATGATAGTATTAATCATGATAGCTCCTTGAAAACAACTTGCTCGTATTGGCATTGATATATTCATAAAAGTAATAGACAGAATTCTATGGCGTATGAGATAAATTTAGGTCTTTTTTTCTTAGAAAGATACTGTACCATCACTTAGTTCGAAAACATTACAAATTTGTGAGAACAAAACAAATAATATAAAAAATACATTATCATATTTTCCTTCTTTGTATACTATTTATTTACGATTGTTATTATCACAAAAATGTTGTTCTCATTTGTTGCTATTGTCACAATTATTATTTTCTTATGTGAATGGACAAATATATATATATATATATATTTTTTTTGGTGGTGGGGAGGAGAAATATTCAATGTGTCTTTCAATAGTGTTTTTTTTTTTTAAATTTTCCAATCCATTGGGTTCAGCTACATCTGTGTGTTACCCAAAACGAAATAATTTGACAACGTCCACTACAATGTGATGAATTGCCCTTTGACAGTCACAATCAGGGTAAATGTCTTTTGATAGGTCCCCATTTCTGAAATGTCACAGAAGAAAAATTAACACTGCATTGGTTGTTGAACTAATCCAGTAATGTGTGTTTCTTCCTACGTCATCTTATCTTTATAAATTTGACATGCCCGTATTTATCTTATTTTTGCATGCGTAGTGCTTCTGCCAAAGGCATTCATGTGCTTTAAGAAAAACAATAGAAAGTATTTGCAAAGAATATGAATTGACTTATTCTTTTAAGATTTTGGAACCTTTTCTTTTCAAAGATTTAATGTATATCTATATATGTATAACCACTTGGAAACAGTATTTAACTGAAAGTTTCTGCAGTAAACTTAAGTATACTTTTATTCAAAAATTTGTAGGACCTCAATAATCTTTGAATTTACAAAGCCTGATCAAGTCTTGTGCAACATAAGGATATTTTTCAAATTATATTTTTAAACTCCCAGCCCCTCCAGGCCCTCCGAAGAATCTTCAGGCCAAAGTCAATAGAGAGACCTCTGTGATCACGCTATCCTGGGAACGGCCAGCAGATACCGGTGGCAGATCTGACATCAAGTATTGGATTAATTGTCCGAAGTGTCCAAATGATGTCCACTTCTCTCCTAGCTATTCAGACCTGATTTCAAATGAGGTTAACGTGAGCCGATTAGCCTCTTACACCCAGTATACATTCTACATCTATTCACAAAATGCTGTCTCTAAGTACAGTAAGGATTCCGATAGCTATGCCGCCACCAATGCGTCCACTTTCTCCTCTGGTATGGTATATCTTTTGATTAGAAAGTTCTATTTCAAAAAAATTAACATCAGAAATATAATTTACAATATACTTATACATATATTTATAATTATATTTTTTTTAATTAAAAAATTAATTTAAATTTGAAAGGCCTGTTAATATTTGATGAGAATCACATAACTCTTGCAATAATTGAACCCATTATGGATCTTGGGGTGCTGCTCATTTTTAGGATCGCTGATTTGATCAATCCAAGACCTCTTAATGAGATTGCGCAAGAGTGGAGTTGTATTTTACAGTTGCAGATATTTAAGTTTGAAATTTTTATAAATTCCTGGTTAATCTTGTGTTTTTATTTGTGTGTATATTTTATGTGGGTATCCTTAAGCCAACTCAAAGGGGTCTCTAGAAGTGATAGATGCTTAAATACTATCTCCATTCATTTAATTCTTCATACTCAGCAATCAATCACTTAACCACTAATCAAGTTGTAAATTTAATAAATTATAAAATCTATTAATCCACATGTCTATATTATGAAAATTACAATCCAGCATAATCTGTCCATCTCTTCATATAAATAATGTATTGTCAAATTTGTAATCAATTTGTTAATTTATCAACAACTTGTCCATTATCAATTTAGCCAATCATAATTGTAATTCCCCATTTATCTACTGTGTCCATTAATGTACATTTATAAGTAACATGTTTAATGGACGCTTAGACACTCTCCATTGCGTAGGTCATTCAGCCATGCGTAAGTGCACTGGTCACTTACTAATAATTGCTGTCTCTTATACACATCTAGATGTGTATAAGAGACAGCTGTAGGAAATTCTGTATGTACAATATATTATATAAAATATGAATATGTTTGCATTTTTATACAATACTTTTGTTGTTAAAAAGATTTAAATAGATAATGTTTTTAAATCTAAGTAATTGCTGGTACATTATTTAATTTTATTGATTTTTCTTGCTAATTTTTAAAATATAGTACCATCAGCAGTGAGGAATTTTGAAATCAAGCAGGTTTCCCAAACTAGTGTAGTCTTGCGTTGGGATTTGCCAGAATTTCCCAACGGTAAGATACTGGATTATGAGGTGTGCTACCGAGAGAGCTCTGAAACAATTGAGAAGAGCAAGTATCACACACAGAGTCCAATCAACAGAGAATTTCAAGAGACAACTATTGATTCTTTGAAGGCAGGAAAAGAATATGAATACAGGGTAAGTGATACAAATGTTACTAATTGGATATGGATATAGCACTGTTGACTACTGTATGATATGCATATAGTACAAGTGGCTAATAACCACTTATGCAAAAAGGGACAATACACATGACTAGTGTGCAGCATACAAATAGTGCGGGTGGCTACTATACAATTATGTAATATTCAATTAGTGAACATGGCTTTTTTCAGAAAATACTAATATTTAAAATTTGCTACTATATTATGTGCTAATACTGTAAGTTGGTACTAATACTATGCAATATGAAATGAAGTGCATAATATACAATAATAAAACAGTGCATATAGTATCATCCTTTGCAGTATATAGACAACTTCATGGTCTGTACTATGTGCAAAAGTACATTGATTTACCTGTCATAACGTTGTCCGCACTCTTCTTCTTTCCAGGATTGACTACTGTAACGCTCTATTTAAATAATAGCATTTCTCAAGGAGATATTCGTAGACTCCAAAAAGCTACAGAATAGGTGTGCACGTTTCATCTTTCACCTCCATAAATTTCATACTGCTAGTCCACTTCGTACACTTTTCATCACATTTTCTTCAATTAATTGCCAAAACAGTACCCCTGCTTACATCTGAACACTTGTCTCTAGGCAACAATATCGCCATTGCCATAATCTTTGTTCATCTGGTTCATTTTGCCTTTGTATACCTTGGTCTAATAAGAAAGCTGGTGATAGGGCCTTTTCAGTTGTTTCACCTAGGCTTTGGAATAGTCTTCCTATCGAGTTACAACATGCTTCTTGTTATCTTGGTTTTCGTCGTCTTCTCAAGAAACATTTGTTTCCTAAGTAGATCTCATTTAACTGTCCAAATTTTCTGTTTTGTTTTCATTTCTGGTGTCATTGTTGATCACCAATTATTACCTTTTTATTTATATTTATTGCGTTTTTTATTCCTTGGCAAAAGGCGTGGTACAAGTTGCTGTATTATTAATATATAATGCAAGTGGCTGCTGGCAAAATAGATCAGTGATGATTGCTATTATGCAATATACAAATATTGCAGGAGGCTGTATAACAAATACCGTAATTGAAATAGATTGAAGTTCAAAAACATACATATTGTACTTGTAGTTCCTTTTTGGTAGTGAAAATTAAGACAATCATCATTATTGCAAGTTTGTTGTTTCTTTTTCACAATTTTAACAGTGCTGTTTAATGAATTAAAATATTCTCATCATACTTATAAATTTATATATCATTATTTTTTCTTATTATTTATTAATATTTATTATTTCAATATTATATATATGTTATTGTGTTTATTAATATTTATAATATTGTTATTGAATAGTAGGATAGATAATAAATTAACTAAATTTTTTGTTCTTCGTATTTCCTTTAATATATAAGAAATCAATACAAGTTCAATGACGAATACAATTATGCATTTGGTTGTGAAACATCCTTGTGTCGAGAACTAATATGAACAAAACAGTTGAATAAAAAATTGTCAGTACTTCTTTTATTTTTCCATAAACAAATCAATATTTCATTTATCTGTTTATGATGAATTCACATATTTTCAAAGATAACCGGTTCTAAAATGCAAATGTTCACAAATTTGTATGAGGTTTTGTGACATCTGTCTCGTTTGTTATCCGAGATAGTGATGTTACGGTAGTTTCTTTCAACAATAAATCAAATCAAAATTGTCTGAGTTGACAGAAATGCATAATTAATATCACAATTTATCACGACCCATGATCCATTTCGCTGAACTGAGAATGTAAGTGATAGCCCAGTACCAGCACAGGTATCCTCTGGGGGCCGTGGTGATGCTGTGTAATAACCTAAGGTAATCAAGAAAGATGTGTCTCTATTCCAGGGACGTAGCCCACAGCATTCAGTAAATGTTCTGTATTACAATTTAGTTGATGTTTCTCCACAATAATTGCTTGAGATATTCTTTCCATTACACAGTTTCGTCGGTACATCGGAGACCCTGGAGCATGACCGGTGTGAAATTTAACTAAAAACTAATAGAAACGGTGACTTATGTTCACAAACCTTGTAGCTCTCTCTTGGAATTGTTTATTTCAAATAGCTCTCTTTCTATCATGATTAATTGGAAGTTGTCGCCAAAGTATTTTATAGCAATTTCAGATTACATATGAAGTACTGTGAGATACGTGCTACGAATTTTGAAAACATTATCCAGACCAAAGTATACTATTGTTCTATATTAATGTTAGGCTTTAAATTAACCATCTGAAATGAGACTAATTATTCATTACTTTATATTATTTGCATGTTTAAATTTAATATATTTTTTATATGGAAAATATTTATATCATAGTTATCCAATTTGTGTTTATT